TATTCATAATTGCCAAGACTTGGAGGCAGCCAAGATGTCCTTCAGTAGGTTAATGGATAAATAAATACCCAGACAAGGGAATATTACTCAGTGCAAAAAAGAAATGAGCTATAAAACCATGAAAGACATGGAGAAAACAAATATATATTACAAAGTGAAAGAAGCCAATATGAAAAAGCTATATACTGTGTGATGCCAACTATATAGCATTCTGGAAAAGACAAAACTATGGAGATAATAAAAAGATCAGTGATTGCTGGGGGGTAATGGGGGATAAATGGGCAGAACACAGAGAATTTCTAGGGCAGTGAAAATACTCTGTGTTATAATGTTTGATATATGTTATTATACATTTATCCAAACCCATAAAATGTACAGCATCAAAAGTGAATCCTAAGATAGAACTATGGACTTTGCTCTAAAAAATTTGTCTTAATAAATAAAAATTTATTTTCATCAAAAGACAATCATTAAGAGTGAAAAAAAAGGCCACAGAGTAGGGAGAATATATTTGTAATACATATATATGACATAGGAGTCATAGCTGAATAGATATATAAATAAATAAATAAATATAAAAGTTAGCAAAACAGTTGAGCAGACACTTTACTAAGGAGCCAGTACCCAATTAGCCAATAAGAAATGGTTTTCAATTTCATTTGTCATGAGGGAAATGCAAGTCAAACCCACAATGTGATACACATGCACATCTTCAGAAAAGCTTGAAAATGCCAGCTGTTGACAAGGATGTGAAGAAACTAGAATTCTAGTACATCACTGGTGACAGTATAAATTGTTACAACCATTTTGGAAAATAACTTATCAATAACTACTAAAGCTGAACATATACATAACCTACTTTAGGTGTATACAAAAACAGGAATGCCTAAATGTTCTCACCTAAGTTATGTACAGAAATAACCATAGCACTGCTATTTGTAATAGATAAAAACTGGAAACTACCCAAATGCCCATAGACAGTAGAAGATATATTCACACAATGAAATACTATTCAGCAATGAGAATAATATACATGAAGCCCATTTTAAAATGTTGAATGAAAGACATGAAAGAGTACACATAGTTTATTTTTATATAATGCTCAAAAATTGGCAAAATTAATCTTGGAAGTCAAGAATAATACTTTGGAGAGTGTTCTGTGACACGATATAGGTACAATGTTGTGGGAGAGGTTGAAATAGTCTCAAGCCATATACTTAATATTTACCTGTTTTTACATAATCTCTAACTTCAGTGGTTCATTCTACTCCTCAATTTGGGCAGAGGTTTCATGAGTATGCTTACTTTATGAAAATTCATTAAGCTGCACATATATGACTGGTGAATTTTTAAGTATATGTATTAAACTTAAAAAAAATAGTTTACCTAAAATAGAAAAATAAAAGAGATGCATATACATTCTCCTAACTCTAAAATCAGCCAAGGCCATAAACCATGCATAATTTGAAATGGATTAAGAAGAGAATGCAGGCCCCTGTCTCTGTGTCAGCTAAGGAAGTGTTTCTTAGACTTTTCTCCCTGCAATCATGACAAACATTTACCTTTGTTTTATTTTATCATTTTCCTGAAAATTGCTTAATGATCTATAAGAATAAGAGAAGGGGCACGAAGAAGGGAAGGAAGGGAAGAATTTTAATAAATTTGGGAGAGTTAGGTATTTGCTTTACTCGCTGGATACTTTTTTATCTACTTTTCTCTCCTTAACACTCTTAATCCCATGCTCCAGCCCCCTTAGCAGTTACTGCTCAGGTTATTCCTGGTCATTTATTTTTTTCTGCTTTGATTCTGAATACAAGATAATCGTACAGCTCTTGTTCAACTTATGATGGGCTTACATCCAGATAAAGCCATCATAAATTGAAAATATTGAAAGTCAAAGTGTGTTCAATACACCTAACCTACTGAACATCATAGTTTAGCCTAGCCTACCTTAAACATGCTCAGAATACTCACATTAGCCTACAGTTGAGCAAAATCATCTAACACGAAGCTCACTTTATAATAAAGTATTGAATATCATGTAATTTATTGAATACTGTACTGAAAGTGAAAAACGGAATGGCTGTATGAGTACAGAGTGGTTTTAAGTGTATGGGTTGCATACCCTTGCCATAGCGTGGCTGACTTGGAGCTGTGGCTTGCATCCACTGCCCAGCATTGCAAGAGCCATATCATACAGCATATCACTAGCCAGAGAAAGGATCAAAATTCAAAATTTGAAGTACAGTTCCTACTGAATGTGTATTGCTTTTGCACCATAGTAGTCAAAAAAATCATTGAAGTCGAACCACGGTAAATCAGGGACCATCTGTATACACAAAATGTTTAATGTTTAACTGGGATGGCCAACAGAGATAAAGCAGGTAATAAACTAAGCAAAACTGTCATTTCGTAATCATTTCCTGAAACATCTTGATCAAAATTTGTTGAGGGCTTATCAAACTCTTTCCAAAAGCCTCCATGTAGGTCACTGAATAATTATAAAACATCTATAGGCCTGGAACCCAAAAGAATCAAGTTTGAATTTAATGTCCTTTAATCCTCAGTTGGGTTTTTAAAAAATGTTTCTCTCTTCTTTCAAATCTAGGAATGAAAATAATAGTTCCTTCCAGTGAAATGAACTGTTTTAAACTATATCGTACTTTACAAGTTTACTGCATTTACTATTTATATTTGCTGTGGAACCAAATATCCACAAAAACCTTTTTTTTTAATAATATGGATGTTTCAAAATAAGCAGAGAAAGCAATTTCACTTATTTCTGTTCTATAATTAATTATACTTATAAACAAAAAGTAGATTCAATCATGATAACTTAGATTTTAACATTTTTCTCTGATTATGTCACCATGATTAGAACCTTGTAAGATAAACAAATTATTGTGGTACAAACAGAAATGTTTATCTTGGGATTTTGTGATAAAATTGAAGAGAAGGTATTTTTAAATAGTTGCTATATGCATGCGTATTAAACATTTTAATAAATTCTCTAATATTTTAATAGAGAATCTCAACCCAGTTTCAACCCAATCCTGTGTATTGGTTCCTTTAATTTTTCTACAGTTTCTTTTGTGATGTGATTGTTGAAAAATTCATTCCCTTAGGGAAAATCATAAAGAATTTTAGTCCAAGAAAAGTGTCTCTTAGAGTCTCATGATAGCTTCTGACATTTATTTTATTAAATTTTAAATTTAAATTTCTACCATATTTCCCTTCATTAAATGTCCTAATGTATGTTTGATGTAGAACTAGATTCTCACTAGGTGAGGTATTTATTCCACTTATGTATGCATTTAAAAGGAAAAAATAAGTCATGAGAAACATTCAACAACTGCAAATCAACTATAAAATTTATCCAAACGCTTAATGCATTAAGTTAAACAAGAGTTAGAAAGAATGTTACTGCTTGTCAAAACAAAAATTAATCCTCCCACTTACTTTTTCCTTAGCCACTGTTGAAATTCCAATTCTTTTTTTATTCTTCAGTCTTCTCTGAGAGAAGTTTAGTAAAAACCAAATAGGTAATCATAATCAAAGATCTCATTCTCATTACGTCTTTCAGGAACATTAATTTTGTTTCTTTTCTGCCTGAGTTATCACAATGCAAACTGGAGAGTGAAGAGTAAACACAAGCAAGAGAAAAGAAAACTAATTAAAGGACAAAAGAGCAAGGGAGAACCTAGACACAAATGGGTTAAAAAAAAAGAAGAAGAAGAAGAAAGCAAAAAGAAGACTACAAGATGATATTGCTTTAATAGTATCTGGGAGTACTCACCGGAAGGCTAGGAAAAAGAAAAGGAATTGTGCTTACCTGTTAGAAATAAGCGGTTTCTGGGAGCTGTCCAATGTACTAACTTAACCATCATAGTCTCAACTTACCTTGTTAATAGGAATTGATGTCCTAGGTATTTCTCCCTTGAACCAAGGCATCTCTGTACTCATCTTTTTAGGCTATTTCTTTTAACACATCTTTAAAATGATTTTCTACTATGTTGTTCTGCCCCACCATGTCTTCTTAAAAATCCCTACACAGAATAATTAAATAAATATAGCTACTGGCAAAAAAAAAAAAAAAAAAAGGAAGAAGAAGGAAAAATGAACCCTTCTTTGTTAGATATATATATATATATATATATATATAATATGAAATCAGTAAAATTTTATTTTCGCTATCCAAATTTTAAGTCTTTTTTCATCTCAAAAAAAAAAAAGATAACCAAAATCTCTCTTAAATAAAATGCAGTAAAGTATAGTTTCCACTCTTAAATCCTGTAGGCTGGTAATGAGGGAAACAAACCAGATAGAAGTGTCAGGGTTATTCTTTGTTCACGAATACTGATCAGCAATTTAAAATTTGAAAGACTTCTCAACAGAGGGTGAGCTGATCGACCAATTGGTTTATCAAAGGGTGAATCACAGTTTTGAAAAGAGACTGAAGTTGTTTTATTTGGGGGGGAGAGTTTACTTTGCCTCCCATGCTGGGATTATACAGTAAAGCACACTGGGTGGAAATATTCTGAGCTTCCCTTTTTCGTTTTATTGTCATAACTTTTGCCCTCTAAGTAAAATCATTTACCTGGGTGGGAGATAGGGTTAGGAAAGGAAAGTCAAGTACCTCAATTGTTAGACTGATTACAGCAAAACAGATTTTAGAAGTCAGGGTTGGTAAAGCGAAAGGAGAGCTGTTTACAACCCAGTGGAAAGAGAAAGCCGGTTCCAACAGCGACTCTGGGGAATGCACTCTCGGCCCCCCTACCGTGCTTACTTAAGCTAATGGAAGATCTTGCCTTTCAGTAGCCGCTGCACTGGGATACCAGACAAACAGCTCCCCTCGACCCCTGGCAGACAGGGCCCCTCTTCAGGACATCATTAAAAGCACATGCAGTTGTTTCACACCCACTGGCAGCCTAGGGTGGCAAGATTCAGAACTCCTACTCTGAAGCCAAGGAGAAGCCAGAGCGGTGGAAAACATCCTTGCTTTGAAAATCCAAAGCTAAATTAAAGAACTACGTGAGATAAGGAGCCTGAAGAATATTAGTTGGCTGCTGGGGTGTGGAGAGACACAAAAAGCACAGCAGGTAAGGGCTGGGAGTTGTTGCCAAGAAGGAACTGTCCCAGGTGGCACAGCAAAAAGGATCGCAGAATTGGAGGCCTGTCCCTTTGAGTCTTCCATGCGTGCTCAAGCTTGTCTTCTTCCATCAGTTTCGAGAGGAGCGACGTTGTCAGAGCCTTCCCTGTCGGTGCAACTAATCCTGTTATCAGCTTGGTTATAAATATTAATGTCCCCTGGTCCTTCGGTGATGGTGACCCATCAGATTCAGGGCTATTAGGAAGCCCATAACCAGCCTCGCCCCTCCCTTCGAGAAACCGATGCGACGCAGGGCCAAGCCGACGCGATGGCAGCCTATCCCGAGAGCTGCGTGGACGCCACCGTGCTGGACTTCGTCGCAGACCTGTCCCTAGCCTCCCCGGGGCACCCTCTTCTCTGCGACTTCGCACCCGGGGTCCCCTATGGAGACCACCAGGACCTTGTGCTCCGAGAGGAAGGACCCAGGAGTCTGGCGCGTTTTGAGGACGATCCAGAAGAAGAGGAGGGTGAAGTAGAAGAGGGGGGAAACGAGGAGGAAGAGGAGCACGGGAGAGGCGCCTCCCTGCTGGGCCGCCCCAAGAGGAAAAGAGTGATCACGTACGCCCAGCGCCAAGCCGCCAACATCCGAGAGAGGAAGCGGATGTTCAACCTCAACGAGGCCTTCGACCAGCTGCGGAGGAAGGTACCCACTTTTGCTTACGAGAAGAGGCTGTCTCGGATCGAGACCCTACGCCTGGCCATCGTCTACATTTCCTTCATGACCGAGCTCTTGGAGAGCTTCGAGAAGGAAACCGGCTGAGCCAGTGTGGGATGAAAGTGTCTGCCCCCTCCTCGCCTGGGCGCGCGCGGGTTTGGGGTGTTTCGGGACCCGGCAGTGGGTGTGGCTGAAAAGCCAGGAGGGACGCTCCAAGACAGAACGTCTGGCCTTCGGGAGCTTGGTTCTGGATTATAAAATTCCCACAGCCCTCGAGAAGCGTGGAAGCCGTAGAGTTAATATATACGCGATCGCTCTCAGCGGAGTGTGGGGCAGGAGCGGGCGGGGCAAGTTAGGACTGGTTAAGAAAGAGTTGGGTCAGTCGAGGCCCACGCCCCAAAGCAGCTTTTGTCAGGCGGGTGGGACGTTAATCCTCTCCGAAAAGGAAGACTTCGGGGGCTTCTATGGAGTCCCATATCTCCCTCCTTCTTACGTGTGTGTGTGTGTGTGTGTGTGTGTGTGTGTGTGTGTGTGTGTGTGTTTTAATGTAAATATAAAAGAGGCATTCCTACTTTTTTTTTTTTTTTTTTTTTAAGCCTCAAGAATCGGTGCTCAGCCATCCCAGGCAGGCACTCCGCTCCGGCCGTGCTCTTAGGGAGGCCTTGGACCAGAAACCCGCGAGGAGTGCGGTACTGGGTCTTACGAGAGGCCAAGGGGCTCCGGATCTCTCCTCCGGTCCTCTTAGGCTTGTCGACAGGCAGAATGAAGGAGATGAGAAAGGAAGGGGAGTCGAAGGGACGGGCGACCTCTAAAAAGGAACATTATCCCCCCCCTTCCTTCCCTCCCCCTCCCTTTCCCTCCCCTTAGGCTCAGAACAGCAACCCTGTTATGGACGCTTGAACCCAGAGGTGACTGCTCCGGCCCACGAGCTGGAGGTGCACCTGGGTTTACAGGGTGTCTTGGGCGCCCCGAGCCTTTACCGCCCGCGGGTGCTTTCCCCTGTCGCCTACAGGGGGGAAAAGGGCTGGGTCCTCCCAGGGGCAGCGACACCTGAGTGCGCACTTTCAAATTTTTAGCTGAAGGTAGGGAAAGATAGCTATTATTCTATTCGCATCTAGGGACAGGAGAGACAAAACGTCAGAGGAGGAGTTGCATTCTTCCACTTTGCCAAAATGTGTGCGATGGAGATGAGGTTGAAGCAGGACCATGCTGAGGGGCTCCCTCGAGTTTGGACGGTCTGCCATTCCACAGTTCTTCCTTCTGGGCAACCTGCTAACACCTGAACTGGGGTTCTTCAGACAGGAGTAGGTAAGTGAGGAGAGGAAGCGGAATGAATAATGCCCATCTAACTGTAAAGTCCGTAATCCTAAAAATAAATCCTGTTATTCCAACACTTTATTTTGCTCTCACTTCTCACATCCTTGCGCGGAGGCACACAGACACACACAAATCTCCCTATCATACTTTTAGAAATATAATTCATCTTATTAAGAAGTAATATATACTCATCACAAAAAGTTTGGAAAATAAAAGTTTAAAAAAGAAATAAAATTTAAATCACTCCTCATTACCTCACAGTTAGCATTTTTATCTATTTCCTTCCAGTCTTTTTTTATACAGAAATAAATTCAGTGTGTTTAACAAATTTGGGATAGTTTTGGAATTTATCTTTTTCCACTCAGCCTTATAGAATGAGCACTTTTCCCTTTAAATATTATTCAAACGTAATTCTAATCATTGTATTTTATTGTTATATCCGTGTATCACAACCTAACTCCAATCCTTTACAAGTGGATAGCTAAGATATTTTCTTATTTAAAAAAATAAATGATGATGCAAGAGCATTCTTATAAATGTCTTCTCTGCCTTTGATAATTTCCGGATATTAGGTAACTAGAAGTGAAATTTTTTCATCAAGTGAACATTTAAGTGTGTGGCTACAAATGGCCAGATTGCCTTCCAAGCAGATCTGCCAGTTCACACTCCCTCCCACCAGAATTACAGCGATTTTCTTGTCTCTCATACACCTTCATTTAAAACTTTTCCTAGTTCTCCTATCTATAGGAACTGAATTAGCTCTGAAATGACTACCCTCGCAAAGATGATTTCTTATTTTGAGTATCTTTTCACCAGGACTGTTTCCACCTCTACCATAAGAACATCAGGATAAACAGGTAAAAGAAAAAAAGGTAACCAACTAAACCAAACAACAACAAAACCAGGGAGTGTATTTTTTTCTTTAATTCTCTAGCACCTTTACTAAAATAAACTGAAGTTTGGACAATGACCTCTGTATCAGTTTTATAAAATAAAATTACTCATTTTCTCCTCTTTTTCTAGACAACTTTTTGACTGCTCAGACTAGCATATGTGTATTTTTAAAGACACATTTAAAATTACTCATTTTAATGTGTCAAAGAAAAATAACTATTTCTCAACTCATCATCAAACAGTATCTGCTCCCCAACTTCTTCTGTAGTGCAAGTGGCTCCATCAATCCCTCATGTTTATCCAGTTATTTATTCATTCAATTAAAAAGGTGTGTTGACGTTTTACATATAGGGTGAATGGGTTCAAAATTGAAAGAGTTTATTGAAGCTCCCTTCCTTCTCCCACTTAAAGTTCTCCTGAGAATTAAACATCATTTTTTTAAATCTGCAAGTGATGAATAAGTTTTTCTAAAAAGATTCAACTTTAGGAATCATTAATATTTTGTTGAAAGAGCCAATTTTGAAAATAAGAAATTTTTAAAAACTGCATAGACAAAGGACCTCAAAATCATCGGGTCCTGAAGAGTAAATACAACCATCCATCATCCTTAATGCTCTCCCTCATATTCTGAACCATTCTGTTATATTCTTAGTAATCTCATGGTATCCTACAGTGAATACTTCTTATTCAGTATAGTAAATAATACCCAAAGAAGCTCTAAATAAAAAGGTTTTTCCCATTATTATTAGAATTATGTCCATGATTCTTAAAACTGTTACAGCTCATAAATGCTTCGTTCTTTGTTTTTTTATATGCTTAGAAGCTGCTCTAAAATATAAAGTCTCTTAAAATTTCTTCTTAATCATTGTACTAACTGAGTAATTTGAAACCAAATAAGGATCAGAAATACAGAGAAATGGGGACTTCCCTGGCAGCCCAGTGGTTAAAACTCCACACTCCCAGTGCAGGGGGCATGGGTTCGATCCCTGGTCAGGGAACTAAGATCCCGCATGCTGCACGGAGTGGCAAAAAAAAAAAAAAAAAAAAAATACAGAAAAAAATGGATTGACTTATTCCTTATACCAAATCATCCATAGAGATAAAGCAAAATTATCTGCATTTCGAACATGAATCTAAACACCTCGATGTCTTGACACTCAACTTTTCTAAGCAACGTGATAATTTTAGTTTTCCCATGTGAGATCCATAAATTCAGTGCACTCTTTAATACAAGTGATTTTAGTATTTAATACATCCTATGTTAAAATTGTCTTATTCTTTATTACCTCCTAAACCAACATTGATAGAAATATTAGCAGACATAGTTTTTTCAATACCTTCCAACAGTTAAAAAAATTCTAAGGGTATCAATTACTTCTGGAAAATTGTAATAATTGGTTTTTGAAATCTTAAAGTAATTTGGACGTTTGGAATGTAAATACCATTTTAGACATTGCTTGGAGGCGATTTATTTATACACTCTTTACTGACTGAAAACTGCCTTTTGGTCTCAAACTAAGTTCCCCATAACTATCAGGTTACTATTAGTATTCAGATATGTAAACCAAAAAAAAAGATCTAAATGAAATCATATTTGAAAGATAATCAGGCTTTCCAAGGAAAGTAAAAATAATCAAAAGCCTTTGCCATCAACAGGCAGCCATTCAGGCTGATCATCTTTTACAGTTACCCAATGTGAAAACAGATTTTGGCAAAATTAGCACTGGAAACTGAACCAAATTTCATGCTATTATGCATAATTCCTGCATGAACATAAATTAAGACCCTGGGATTCGTGTTTATTATTGCATTTGTCAGCATTTCCATTATAAAAACACTATTGTGAAAGGTTTATAACAGCTTCAAAAATTTGAAATGAAACTTGATAAAGCACAGTTTAGCATAACTTTTTTTTGTAATTATAAATCTTCAAAGAAAATTTCAAAGTTAATGAAGACACTTAGGTATACTTTATGTGTGAGGTTCCCAAATGTACCTGCAACTTTAAAAACCAAGAGATTCTATTTAATACAAAATATAAATTAGATTATTTTTATTTAGATTTATTTTTATCAAAAATAGCTGGCAGATTAATATTGAACTTTAAGTACTAACTCTACTTATTGGGTGATATTACTTGATTAAATTATAGTTTGAATGTGTTAGAAAAGTGTTGGTATATATCTATATCTTGACCCAAGTTCAGTCAAAGTTTCCTGAACTTTCCCAACATTTTGGGTGAAGTTAGTCCCAGTTTCTGGTCAGCGCCCTCTCTTCCTGTGAATGCCTGACTAAAAAAGGTTACGAAACAAGAGTCAGCAGTTCTGACCATTTTGTTTTGACTTTGGGGTTTCTTTGAATCCAAAGCTTAAAACCAAACCTGGCGAAGGAAGAGAAGGAAAGGAAAGAAGCAATGCAAACTGACAGGAATAAAATACCAGGAAGATGGAAAAACTTCTTCAAGTGTCTATAAACCAAAGCCTATAAATTTCCACAATGTTCTCTGTGATACCAAATTTTAGTTCTGTGCCTAAAACACATTCCGTAAGGACGTGTAAGGAAATGCAAAGAATAGCATGAATGTATTTTTAAACATTCTTTACAGCTAATATTTGGTAGAATTCCACTCAGTTTTGCAGAAGGCAAAGAACATTTAATATTCAGTGAAGTCAAGAGTTTGACAAATATGCTGCGAATTATCATAATAAAATGTCATAATTATCATAATAAAATGTTTACTTAGCACATTATTGTTTTCAAAGCACCCTTCGCATACTTTCTTTCATTTGATCCTCTGAATGGATTTCAACAAGATCTAGAGTCTCTCAAGTAAATTGAGGCATCAGTTTACCATCTTAAAAATTCATTCACCTATGGAAATCAGCATGATACTGAGATTCCTATAAAGGACCAGTGGTCACATGTAAGCAACACATTTCTTTGAAAGATATTGCCTTCAAGATCAAAAGCACCTTAACACTCTGTGGATGATAAATTATACAAAAGGCTGGTACACTCTGGCTCCCTCAAAGGCCACATTTTACAACCTTCTATTTAAGGCTCTGTGAAGGAGATTTCCACCTGCAGCCAGCAAACGTAGATGATCTCAAAGCAGATGTTATGGAC